ATATCAGGAAAATACCAAGAATGTGCCTAGGTGGCAATGGAGGGGTGTGAATGAAAATTGCTTTAGACTGCATCAATGACTTCCAGTGAATATCATAAACACACTCATAGTTGAACAAAGTTTGTTTTAATAATGCTCAGCAAGGAGGAAAAACACACACCAGAGCAGAACTGGGGTGTCTTGGGAAGAGGATTTAAGAAAAGATTTACAGGATTTGGGTGTGTAGCAAGTGGTTTTAAGGAGGGCTCAAAGAAATGAGAATCTGCTCCAGATTGGATTCTCTAAGGATGTGGGTGTAATTCTATGGCTACTATCTTAGTAATTCTTTTCTAGAAGGCAAGAACAGAGCAAGGTTAAAGCTGTGTTTGGTAAACAAGCAGCAGCCACTCACATAATCCAGGACAGAGACATATTTAGTCATTTTGTAGTTTAGGAAACATTTTTGTTTCTGTCGTGTTCAGACATGATTACAGGGTCTTGCTTTAATCTTGACCCTTCATGTCTCAGCGGCTTTGTCTAATTTCAAATGTTGTGAAATTGTCTATATTCAACAGAAGGAGACCAAGTCTTCTTGGGGGTGCCAAGCCACCTTCTGGCTGTCAGGGACTGTTTTGCTATTTCTCAACTACACACCCTTTTGTGCCTTTACAATTTGGTACCATACACTTATCTTACCTATTCAAAATAAGTTTTCAAAGAATATCAGGACTAAAGGAGACCTTAAAAGTCACTGAGTTCTGAAACCATGCCCTCCTACCACCACTCTGCTTCCTCCTCCCACACCAAGGGGGTTTTCTTGTAAACCTCTCCCTTTGCCTCAAGTGCCAGGACAGCATCTGCTTGAATATCTCCAGTCTCACCGTTGTACTAACTTGTCAGGCAGCCCATTCCATAGTCAAATGGCTCTTAAAATTTTATTGTTCAGAGGTAAAGAGAACAGTATCTTTGGTTATAATATCTTCATTGTTTTCTCCCTAGCATTTCTGACCTCTTCAAATGTGTCTTGTCTTATGGTAACTCAGGAAACAAAATAATTAGCTTTTTAATTTTATGTAAAATATTCCTATTAATACCCTCCAAACTGCCATTGTCTTTTTTGTTCCAGTGTTCCAACACAGTTTTGTATTTTTTATCATTACATTTGCAGAGATTCTTATCTGTTATTGCCGACAAATCCATTTGTGTTTTGTACTCAGTTACATATAATTAGTCTTTTCTTCATGAACAAAAGAACAGGTGTCTTTATCAATTCTGTGCAAGATGCTATGGTAAGGTTGGTTAGACCTAATGATGTCTAGTGAACCAAACAACACATTTCTGACAGATGCTCATAGTAACAAGATTCTTTTTTCAAACAATCAACTGCTTCTACTCCTACACACACAAAGTAGAGGAAGAAAAGACATTTTAACAACTTAGAAGCTTATAATTTTTCTATAAAAGAAATGAGTAGAATTTAAATCCTTCTTTGATATTTTTACTTCTAATCCCCACTCAGACAAAGTATATGTAAAATTATTTATTTTTATTTGATATTCTTCATTAAAATATGTGGGGAGAGGGTCAGAAGAAAGCACATTAGTTGAAAAACTGATAACATTTTAATAAAAGCTATAGCTCTCTGTAAATAATATTCACCAGTGTTAATTTTCTGACGTTGATCATTATGTTGTTATGTAAAATGATACCATTAGGAAAAGCTGGATAAAATGTATAAAGGAATTCACTTTTATTACTTTGTAATTTTTCTGAAATCTTAAATGATTTTTTAAGTTAAAAAAATATGTGGGGCTGGTCGCAGTGACCCACGCCTGTAATTCCAGCACTTTGGGAGGACAAGGCAGGTGGATCACGAGGTCAGGAGATCGAGACCATCCTGGCCAACATGGTGAAACCCCGTCTCTACTAAAAATACAAAAATTAGCTGGGCGTGGTGGCACGTGCTTGTAATCCCAGCTACTTGGGAGGCTGAGGCAGGAGAATCGCTTGAACCAGGGAGTCAGAGGTTGCAGTAAGCCGAGATCACGCCACTGTACTCCAGCCTGGTGACAGAGTGAGACTCCGTCTCAAAAAAGTAAAATGTGGATAACAGTATTTTAGCCAATGACCTACAGAAACTTTCGTACGTATTGACAGAGACATTCATGCACCTAGTCATTCATTCACTCACTTTGTATTGAGTGCTTACTGTGTGTTACAGACCATTCATTCTAGGTTCTAATAGTGCATGAGGCATCAGTCAAAATCTTTTCACTCACAGAACATGCATTCTTCTGGGAAAGAAGATCAAAAATAAATAAACAGCAATAATACATATTTCAGAAAGTGGGATATGAAAATAGAGAGTTCCACGGTGAGAAGTGTAATTTTTAGAGGACTGTTAAAGAAGGCATCTTCAACATCTGTAAGATAGATCTTAGCAGCACTATTGGTAATGGCCTTAAAATAGAAACAATAATTATACACAAAAAGGAAAATGAATAAATATGTTTGTATACATTCATACAGTGGAATATTTTACAAAAATGAAAGAAATAAAACAAATAAATATATTACCATAGACAAACCTCGCAACCATAATGTTGGGGATTAAAGTACATAAAACATATTTATGATAATGTTCTAACTTATAAAATATTTTAAAATATGCAAAACAATGTTATGAATTAAAATTTTTTATTAAATTGCATATATATGAGATATACAAAATTCCAGGGAGTTATTATAACTGGTAATGAAAGAAAGCAAGATTCCATCAGGGATATCACAACAAGGAGGTTAAACTATATCGATAATCGATATTTTTAATTAATTTTAAAAAAGCTAGTGGTAGGTATCCAGATAAACTTGTATTAATCCTTATATTTTGCACACCTAAATGATTTTAAAAACAATTGATTAAAAAGTGTGTGTGGTAGTTTATCTTAATAAAATATTAGTTTAAATCTGTGAGTTCAGAGAATTTTTTAAAGTACGTATTTGACACAATGCATGCCCTTTGGGGTGTGTGTGTGTATGTGTATTTGTGTGTGGTAGGCATAACGACATTATGCTAAGAGAGAGATATATATATATGCATGAAGGAAGGGACAAATGTACACGTGGGTGTAGATTTACACGAGCAGTTAACCCAGCATCAACAAAGCAAGCACTGTCAATCATTTTCCTAGAAAGAATGCAGGAAGGATTTGTCCTAGCTTGACCCCAAACCTGCACTTCCACACCCTTCTGTCTTTGCCCCATGATAAATGTCATGCATTTGCAAGATAGTTGGCTGGGTAAAGATAGCATTTTGTAGATTGAATATGGCTAATTGTCTTACTTAGGGATTGATTCTATCTTCATCAATTTATAATTTTTCAATTTTTTTTAAAGTTAGATGGATGGTGCTGACAGAGATGTTGATATATCATCACCACCTCCAGCCATCACATTTTATAGAAATAAAACCTGAGAACTAGTAGTATCTTGGAGTTAGTGCAGATAAGTGACACAACTAAGTGGTTCCCTGGTTCTTGCATCTATATTTGTAGCCTCACTAAATCGACATTTAATGACAGATGCAATAAATGAAAATACACGGAGAGAAAACTATCCTGATTCTTCTATACTGAGCTGAAAGCTTTAATCATTTAAAGAATGCTCTCACAAAAACACGCCACCAATGCAAACCAAAATAAGTCAATCAACAACCTAGCAAAAAATCTGAAAGCAAGAAAACTGAAATGAAATTCTTTATAATAAGATCTTTTATCTATTGTAAATTATATTCTAAATGTGTGATATTAACTGAACAAAGAATAACTTAGAAAGGGTGGACAAGATCATTTTCATTCTTTAGGAATTTTAAATTTTTCCTCAAATATTTCTTAATAATTTGAAAGATATTTCACTATAAAATATCTAGCTTCCTATATTACTTTATGCAGCTTAGTAGATTATCAGCCTGATCACAAAATTACATCCATCAGAATCACAACTTGTTTGGACAGATATCAATGAGTATTTATTGTGTGCTCAACACTAAAGATCTAGCAATGAAGACAGACAAACATTAGGAAACAATATGGCACCATACATAATTTTAGAACGACACGAATTTGCCCTCAGGTATCTGTATATGATTATGCAAAATTTGAAAGATCTGAGAGCTATCAATCTTGCCTCTGGAGCTTGTATTTGAAATTTTTCTAGACTGCAAATTCATTTTGTCATACCTTGATGACTGCATTTAATTTTTGAACTTGTCAACTCTAAAGTTACATCACTTAAAAACTATATCCAGAGAAATTATTATTAATCTTTGAATGCTCAGCATTTTTATTTCCCCCCCAAAAATTTAAATTCCATTTCAGGTCTATCAGTCTTCATTATCTTCTTACTGTTATATATATTTATTATATGTGCCATATGTAATCATGATATTTAAATATATTTTTCTTTTAAAATCAGCAATTTTGCCTTTAACATAAAATAACATATGTATGTTTTATATATATATATATAACACACACACACACATATATATACACACACATACATGTACTCAGTATTTACCTTAAGAGGTAATTTTTGTCTGTCGGAAATTGTGTTCTGAGAAATACATAACTTGTTTATTATTGAACTATAACTTGTTCATCTCTTGGTTCCGGGATTTAAATATCATCCCGTGTTGGAAGATGTGCTTGTATTGTTCCTAGGAGTGTTTATCATCATGCTGCCTACAAACACCGTGATGGGAGTATATTCTTGCCCACTGACCAAAGGAAATACCTTTAAGCCTCTTACCTTCTCTTACCTGCATAACCTCCCTCCTATACTGTGTCTTTGCTGCAGGAAATCATAGCAAGAAGGATAAAGGAAAAGACACCAGCTTACTAATAGTTAAATAGTTTGAAAGGCATAGTTTGGTAAGGCAGCTTAGCAATGCTTTAAGTATAAGATACACTGGGCCCTACATTTGATTTGTAATCAGATTGTAAGAAGCTGATGTTTCTTACTGTAGTCGCTGTTTTCGTCCTTGGTCCCATCAATGGTGCCATCTGGGTGCATCTGCAGGAAATATCCCTGCTGGCTGAATAACCTTGTCACAATCCCTTTCAGCTGGGGTTCTGCAAAACAAAATAATTATTCAAATTTTTATTTGGCTTACACAAATGCACACTTACAAATTGTTAAAAACATCCTGTAAGTAAATACGTAAATGCCAATAGCTTAAATATTGAATTACGTATTTGGGAGTTGGGTATTTCAGTAGCATATCTATGCTTTTTATTCCATCTAGAGGTAGAGCTTTAACACTTTTAGCAATAAACTAAATGCAAATAAATAAAAGCAAATTATGATTAGGAAAATACCAAGACATGCTAAAAAGTGAATTATTTTCCTCCTTTGTACATCTGGTGTCTGACTGCAAGATTTCACCAACATTATAGTCTCATTCCAGAATTATTGTTTAGGCCAAATGCCTCTGTAATTTCTAAGTTTCTAGTAGTCATAACCAGGTTCATAAGACTTCTATTTCTGTAGTATATCAGCTTTCCATCAGAAGCTCCTGGGTTTTGAATTTGTGATCAAGTTCAGCCAGAAAGAATAGTTTGGATGAGAAGAACCACAGGCAACAGCAAAACTTCCATGGCCATGAGATGACACCGGGAAATATGTGGAAATGTAAATTTCACCTTCACTACATAGTTCTTCAGAGAGGAGCCTCAGTATTCCAAAGTTCATTTCTCCAGTACAAAAAAAAAAAAAAAAAAATCAAGTCATACATATTTCTCTAGGTATTTCAAACCAGAATTGCTCAACTTTTAAAAACCCTCTAAACACAAACACTTTCAAACTAACCTTTGTATAACACATTTGAATTTTTGTGCATCAGCTAATATAAATATTTAAAGCTTTCTCATTGCAGTGCTGGCTGCCAGCAACAATCTAATTTCCACCGCATCACCATTTTTGTCTCTATTGTTGAGCAAAAATGAATTATTCTAGGGCACTTATAGCCCTAATTATTTCATTAAAATGAGGAGAAAAAGAAAAATGCTGCTTCTAGAGATAAAAATTGAGGCAAAGATGGAAATCATATGATTGCTAAAGTAGCAACATGGTATCCTCAGAAGGACAATCACTGAATTTAAGCTAGTCAACTTCATCCTTCACCCATTTTTTCAACTAATCTTTACCAAGAATGCCTTTTTTCTGCCCAGCAATATGGTAGCCACTCTGTGTTACACTGAATGCATTTATTGATGTTTAGGTCTAAAAGAGAATTCTAGTTAAACATTCAATGTGATTAATTCTTTGAGAATTGGCCTACACCCTGTAACAAGCGTCTGTCGCTGGGACTTTTGCACATGTGACTTGATCACATTCACATTATTTGGGAATATGGGGCAATGTCTCTATCAACACGTCTTTTTCACAGCAGTCCTAAGAAGCAAAAGACATGTCAAAGAAATCGGGAATGAGGAAGCAGGCTGATGAGCAAAGAACTGAACTGGAAATTAGGCATTCTAATTAATAGGTAGATATTGTCTTTATGAGTTAAATAAATTCAATTTTTTAAATTTGTGAACTTCAATGTCCTCATCAATAAAAATCTTGAAGTTAAACTGAATGATTGTTTGTTCCTTCATGTGAGTCTCTATTTACTTTGAGCACAGTAGAATCCTCTGCCTTGAATGCTGGCAGAAATAGAAGAATGGATTTGTCTTCAATGCACTTCCTCCATAGGCTCATCTATTCCCACAACTATGGACAAGTTGGGGAAACACATGGCCAGCTAACGCTGCAAACAACTCTCTCTTTTTTTCGAAAAAGAAATTATATTTTAAGTTCTAGGATACATGAGTGCAATGTGCAGGTTTGTTACATATGTATACATGTGCTTTTTTGGTTTGCTGCACCCGCTAATTCGTCATTTACATTAGGTATTTCTCCTAATGCTATCTCTCCCCACTCCCCCCACCCTAGACAGGCCCTGGTGTGTGATGTTCCCCGTCCTGTGTCCAAGTGTTCTCATTGCTCAATTCCCACCTATGAGTGAGAACATGAAGCGTTTGGTTTTCTGTCCTTGTGACAGTTGCTGCAAACAGCTCTCTGTGTGCCTCTGCCTTTGGCTGCCTGGCTGACACGCGGTTTCTGATGTGATAGATTTGAACCTCAAATGCTGTGTGGCCCCGAACAACTCATCTAACTAACATTTGAGTTTCAAGTTTTTGTACCTATATAGTAAGATTTTTTAAAAGTGCTACTCTATAATCATTGCAAATTTAAAATGAATAATGACAAAGTACGAACTAGAAAACCCATAAAATATACATCCTAATTGAAGTCTACTGTTTCAACTATGAAAATCAAGGACACGGTATAAGGGAGGTAAAAGCAGCATTCTGAGAAAAGAATATGTCTCCAGCGTCTGCTTTAGTAAAATATCAACTGAGCTTGTAAAGCCACTAAAGCTAAAAGTACAGGATAGAAAATGATAGAAGGGAGGAAGAGGACAACTTTCTTACAATTCATACTTTATTTCTAATAAGCTTGATAAAGTCACTTTAAGAAGTCATTTTTTATTGGTAATGAGATGCATGGCAGTTTAGTCGTTAAAACCTGTAAATGATTGTTTGTTTTCTTCGCGCTCCTCTTTCTGTACCTGTAATTAAATACTTCTTTAGCCTTGGTGGAGCCATCCCCTGTTGGAGCCCTGGTAATTCAGGTTGGGAACTCCGGCTCAGGATAATGAGCATCAGACTCTGAGCACCCATCTCTGAGAGCAGTGCCAGAACAAGCCCAGAGTCTGCGTTTTAATTATCTTGTGATATGTGAAAATGAACATCCTATATTATAGAAGTTCCAAAGAAGACTTGATCATCTGTTGAAAAAAATACCCTGAACATATATAACATAGATGGGGCACAGAAAGCTGTGTAGCCTGACTGGCATCTTTTATGTCTATTACCATCTATCAAGTCTTACCAACCTTTCCAGGTTCAGCTCAACATCACCTCCTCCATGAAGGCTCGACTATCATAAGTGAGGATCTCCTTTATAAGGGGGAAAGCCAGAACATGTTTTGCTCTATTTTAAAGAAAGGAGGCACAAAATGAGACCACTTTTCAGCATATTCAGCATATCCAGCATCCTGGGTACATTCAACGAATGCACATTTATTCGTCAGACTATGCTTGGGACCCCAAGATATGAATAAAACCGTTGCTGTCCTCAGGGAGCACCCAGTCTAATGCATGAAACATATTTGTGTATAATACTAGTGTGGGAGAGTTGATAAACGAGGAAGTGAATCACAGTAATGTGATGTCACCAAGGAGCAAGTGACCAGTTCTGTCTGAAGGTTGGGATAAGACACTTCATCTGTCACTTGAAGAATGAGTAGGACTGCCGTAGGCAAGGAAACCAGAGGAAAGGCATTCCACACAAAACATGACAACTCTGGGCATGATGCAGCCTGGTACAGACAGAATAGAAAAAAGGGTTCTCAAATGCAGACATGCAAGTAAGTGCCTGTTCTCAACAAATGTTCATAACACAACAGTGACACTAAGACAAATAGGGTCAATGGAATAGGTTTTCTATGCACCTAATTTTTTTTCAGTTTATATGACTCCTTGATTTTAAAATTATGCTCTTCCATTACTATTTTTCTTTTTTTAATGAAATGATGGCTATATTATTAGATGGTAGGGGAGGAATGGTTGGTTTGTTCCCTTTTGTGCTCTAAAGTGGTGTGGCAAATACTGCAAGCATTTCACTGAAATCCATTTCCTCTTTTTTCTGGGCACCCAGCTAGACCATATGTCCTAGCCTCCCTTGCAGTTGGGTTTGGCAGATGAATGAGTGTCATATGGAATGTAAGTGGAAGTGATGTGTGCCATTTTCAGGCCAAGGTTTTTAAAAGCAAACATTCTCCTCCACATTCTCTTTTCCTTAACACTGGCCAGATTAAGATAACATAGCCCTGGGGGCTACAGAAGCAACAAAAGGGAAGAACGTTGGGTCCCTGAATAACAGGTAAAGAAAAGATGACAGCCATTGAAACACCTCCCTTGGGCAGTGAACTGAAGAAGAAATAAACTTCCATTGGCTGAGTGTAATGGGCTTTGAACCTCCTGCCAAAAAATACAATACGGAAAGGGAAGGAGACAGTAATATTATGGTGGAGAAACCTAACAAACAAAGCACTACCTCAGTCAGGTGATCAAGGTTAATATCATCAATTATAAAACATGCTGATAGTATGTACTCTTGAGATTATGTGATGAGAATAGCACTTTACCTCTGTGATCTTCCTCCAAAAAACCCACCTCAGTCTCATTATGAGAAAAAAAAATTAGACAAATGCCAATTAAAGAATGTTCTACAAAATACTTGACCAATACTCCTCAAAATGGATTGTTCATAACACAAAGAAGGGATAAATGCTTGAGGTGAGAGATAACCTATTTGCCATGATGTGATTACTATGCATTGTATGTCTGCATCAAAATATCACGTGTACCCTACAAATATATACACCCACCATATACCCATGAAAGTTAAAAGTAAAAAATAAAAAAAAAAAACTATCAATGTCATTGAAGAAAACGAGTGTCTAGGAAAAAGTCATAGATAAAAGGAGTCTAAAAAGACATAACAACTAAATGTAATAGGGTATTCTGAATGAGATCCTAGAGCTGAAAAAGAACATTATGTAAAAATGAAGGAAATCTGAATAAAGTATGGATTTTAGTTAAAAATACTGTAATGATATAGATTCTTAATTGTGACAAATATTGTACATTAATGTAAGCTGTTACTATGGGAAATTGGATATAGGGTATATAGGAACTCTGTACTATCTTCACATCTCTATAAATTAAACAAATTCTGAAATAATAGGTTTATTAAAAATACTAAGTACAGCCAAAAAAGCAAGTAATACATGTTTTCCTCAAAGAGGCCGAGTGATAAAGAAGGTAAAGGATGGGACCTCGGGTTCAATACTGCTTCCCATCAGGATGACATGGCAATTTCAGCAGAAGGTTTGAATTCAGAGCCACTCAGAAAAGCTGACACATGCCAGAGCTATCTAGACGTTCCTGCCAGCTTGACA